TCAATTCCTATAATCAACATCACCAGTAGTTGTAAGTTAAGCCCTTGGTCAGCCATGTCTTAGTCAGTTAATAAAAGTAGAAAGGTTTTCCCAGGCTGTGGCACGAGTTACCATACTGGTGAGATGCTTAAAAATGTGGAAAGCTTTGCTTTCTTTTTAGTCAGAAAACGAAGGTATCGTTATTTTAGATAGAACCTATTCACACATTTAAAATTGGCCATTTCAGTCTGATTTTACAGATAATTTTCTAGAATACATGATTTATATAAATATAATTTTGCTTAGAAAATAAATGTATGATTGCAAGCTTTGAGATTTGTATTCTTTATTTTCTGTATTTTTCCAAGAACAAGTGTAAGCAACCATCTGTTATATACATTATAAGATTGCTCCTCAGCAGTCTGAGAGAAAGGAGATGTCAGCCTTCTCCTACATTATCTTCTGGGAAATGGGATGCCAGACATTTTAAAATAGTTTTTGAAGGTAAAATATTGGAAACAAATCTTGGTTTGAGGCTGTTTTTTATAAATTTATTTGAATTTGTCAGTAATATGTAACGTAGTGATCTGGATCATCAGGGACTGGCCAGAGGTACAAGCTTGGGTTTAAAATTTAGGATTCAGCCACACTACCAGTGGGATATTTGGGAAGGCAGGTTTTAATACAGCTGCATTATCTGCTAGGCAGATTTGGAACCAGGCAGTTAATTTGCAGCTTTTGACTACACATCCACAGTTCAGGTCTGCCTCTACTTGTTTCTTATTTTGTTTTATAAATGTTTTGAGTTTCCTTTAATCACAGTCATGGCTGTCCACAGATGAGCTGATTAGACTTATATAATGCCTGCTGACATAATCCCAGGAGAGTCTTTGGACAGTATCTCATTTGAGATGTCCATAAAGTAAAACAAGTTTAAACTGAGTTAATAAAAATAAACCTCAATTTCCTAATGATCTTCCTTTTTCCCTAAAGAAGGATATTAATACTTTATCCAAACCCCAGTAATATAATGGGAAAATTGAATAAGAGAGACATATGTAGACTAAAGAAAGGCAATAGATATAGTCTTATCAGGATTAAAGGAGAATGGCTATCATTAATTACTTTTCAGCTTACTCCACTCAACTGCAAAGATAAAATTTTAACCTGATCTAAGCAATCAGCTAAAACTTTGAATTCTTTATTTATTTTGGTTAAGAGAAATTGCTGAGCTTTTTATATTGTTAATACCATTCTATGTAACGAGATGAAAGTTTGGTGTCTTTAGTACCTGAGAAACCAACTGTTACCATGTCTTTTTTTTTTTTTTAATTCAGGTTTCTAAACCAATTAGTGTTGAGTCTCATTGCAATCTGTGCATTTTCCATTAGGTCCCATCCTTGATACCAATTCTGCTGTAACTTAAATTTCTGCATTTTTCATTTGTCAGTGTTCTCATATCTTTTAGAAATAGAGGTGTGCAAGATACACTTTTGTGTGTTTTCTAATTTTGATTTCCTCCACTTTTCAGGCTTCCAGCCTCTGATAGTTAAACCACCCAAAATTATTAATGCTGTAGTATGGATTTGTGCTTGTTACAAATATGTACTGGAGTTTCTTTTTCCTTGGCACTTCTTTCTTGACACACCTATGCAGATCTCTCTTTTAGTCTTTCGTGTGTTAAACTAAACAAAGTAAATGTTTTCAGTTTCTTCTCAAATTTTCCCTGACCATTGTAGAAGTCTTTCTCTTCCAGTCAATAGATGATCAAACTCAAGAACAATAGAATTTTAATATAATTTATTTTGCATTAATGTTGATATCTATGTACTAGAAATATATTACCTGATAAATTAAAAATTTCATTTCATTTCCATTGGGTCATCATTTTGATACCTCATAATTATTTGTGATCTACTTTGTACCCAAAATTTCACCCACTGTAATTTTCAGCTGCCGAGGTCTCAGTTTTCAGCAGAAACTTAAAAATCATCAAGTTCACGTATTTTCATTTTTCACTGTTAAATTTCACCTCAGTTTGATTCTTGTGGTCATAGAGGTAATCCATGTCTTCCTGGTAATGTTCCAGTCTTCATATGTATCAGCAGTGCTTTCCCATATCAGAAATTTCTGAACTATGATTTTTTGGCTGTAATTCATCCTATGCTCTGGTAATTTATAAAAATATGTAGTAGAACTGATCCCTCAAATTACTGCTGAGAAATATGCATTTGTATTGTTCTTCTAGCTCTTTTGGTGCAGCACTATATAATTTCACCTTTCACAGTCTCCAGTATCTTGCACTAATTTCAGATGTTTTTATCATGATGATTAGTACTAGCAAACACAGCTTACACTTAATTTAAAAAGCTGAGTGACAGAGCTTCTGTTGCTTGCTCCCTCACTGCTTAGGTCAGCTCTATTTGATATGAAACTGATTTGTGGTGGATTCAAAGTGACCATTATCTCACCTTGCGTAATTGACAAGAAATGAATTTTCTTTCTTTTTGTCCTGTGAAGAAGAATTAAATAAAAGCAAACTATATTTGTGAGTAATTTTTTGTATGACATAAAGTGGTACTTGTTGATAATCTAAAGGGGATGGGTTACAAGACTTTTGCTTTAACACTTCAGAATAAATATCTATATTTTTTTAAATGTTACTGTATTTCTACCCTCCCTCTGCTTTAAAATTGTTAATGAAATGTTAAAATTTTCACTTTTGCAAAAAGGTAATGGTGTTGACATGAGGAAAAGCATGGAGTAAGTTCAGTGAAAGTATTCCATTAGCTGGGATAATGTGCACAAAGAAATATTATATTTCTGAGTGCATTTATAATTTATATTGAGATCATAACCAAATTCAGGAAAATAGTCTTCTACCTTGTGTTTTGCTAGTTTTTGAATTCTTCGTGTGCCCAGCTGGAGGAGAGACCATGTGCTCTTTGTGGGCAGAAACTCTGCAGTGATGTGTTTGACAGCTGTGGGGAGAGCCCTGGCTGTGCATTTTTCACTCTCTGAGTGGGAATCATCATGCAGTACAAGATTTGCACAGGGAGATCCCACATAGTATTTATGAAAGGTTGCTTGGCAACCTACATTTTTATATCACTTCTTACCATCTTACTGGCCTTTATATCCCAGCAAGCAGCTTTTGGGGACTTGGAAGTGGCAACTTAGAGATGTGGGGTTGTACTCCCTTACATAGTTGTGAGTAGATAATGGACAGAATGAATTCAGAGCTCAGGGTTTGTACAGGAAAAAGTAACCTAATATATAGTGCTGGTGTATCATTATTTTTGTAAATTACCTTTGGAAATAAGAATATTACTGTTGGGGATATTCCTATTCCATACTGGTGCGGGGAAAGCTGTTTTCTCCTCTTATTGCTAAATTGCTCTTTGTTTTTTGAAGGTCCTTTTGTCTTCTTGTGCATATGCATTTATTTTTGTGTGTGTAGATTTAGTAATATTTTCTGGTTTGAAAGTGAATTAATCAGTTAATCTGGAGCAAGTTGAAAAGTGGCAGCTTTTGAGAACATTCCCAATGTTCAGAAGTGCCTCCCTGACTGCCACTGCCAGCAGCAGTAAAAAGACAGTGTCAGGTTGTTGGACATCAGGATTAACTCTCAGAGAATATAAAAAGCAGCATCAAGTTGGGCCTTATCTGCTTCTCTGCTGCACTTCAAAGCTTCCCTGCCTGGCTCTGCCAGGCTGCTGGACACTCCACTGGAGACCCTGCACCAGTGTGTGGCAGGCAGTTCCCTTTCCCTGGAAATGTAGCGTCCTTATGTCAAGGCAATTGCAGACTGGATAAAGTGGAACCAGTTAAAAATGGTAGCAGGAGGCTTCTCCCTCTAAAGGGAAATATATGATATTAATGGATGAGACCAGTTTGCTTTTATCAGTGCCATAATGTGAATTACTGTAAACTAAATTTGATTAACTCTTCAGTTACACAAAGGAGCGATTACCACAACTGTACAATAATAATGCTTAACAGGATAGGATCTGGGTGAATTAATTTGCAACTACTTGCTTCTACTTTCAGCTTCTGCTTATATTTTAAAGTAAAGAAGGACATCCAAATTAATTTGAATAACACTTGAAGCAAGCTGAAGTTAATTTAGGGTAGAGTTTTTTCTTCCAAGTTTTATTTGTCAGTAAAATTCAATTGGTAGCAAAGAGTTTCAATATGTCTGGAGAGAAAATTCCTGCATGTTTAAGTAGATGAACTGAATGCTTCAAAATTAGTATCTCACTAAGTGAACACAAATAATTGTTCTATGGGTCTGGAATTCAGAGAAATTGCAAAATGATACTTTTACCAGTTTGGTGGCACTGTTTCATCTTAGGTTTGTGAAATTTTTTTTTGTTTGTTTGTGTGTTTGCTGCCATAATGCTAGCAACAGCAAATATAAATAATGGTTTATAATAATAAATTCCACTAGGAAATTTCACTTGGTGTAAAACATATGTTTTAATTAAAAAATCCAATTATTATTTTGTAGTTCTAATAATTTTAAAATTATTAAGGAGGTTACTGTACATTGTTTGCTTTTAAGGTCTCTCTTATCAGAAGAAATTCATGCATGATTGTTTTGTTTGATATCAAACCACATTTTTGCTGTCATAACACTGGCACATTTTCAAGTCATGCTGTTTTCTGGCTGCTAGCAGGGAGTAATGGAAACAATGCAGTGATCATGCAATTTATTAAAAATAGGCACTAAAATACTAGAGAAGTGATGCTTTTATTTTATTGGGGACTAGGATTCATAAGGCTTCATAAAAATAGCTATTTCAGTATCACAGAGGAATTAAGATACCTTGCTGCCTGTGAGCTGTTTATAATTTATTTCTGGTGATTTTCCTTTAGATCAGACTGTGATGCTTCTTGTGAATGGTGACTGTGCTTGCTGAGGAGTGGTCATGCAAGCAAAATCTGATAACCTCGATATGTCGCTTCATCTGCCGTTTTTCTTTCGTTAATGCAAAGCTGGTTACATAATATCTAATTTCTCCTTTAGCTGACCAGAGATGAAAACAAAATCTATAATGGCAGTGCTAGGTTTTATAAAAAACGCGAGTGAGGAGTTGAAGGATGTGGCTTGTTCTGTTTGGACGCTGCAGGATTGCTTTAAGCAGTAAGCTTACTGTTTTCAGATGGCATTAGCAGCATCAGTGATATAGCTGTGTCAGCCTCCTCGACTGCTGGATGTCTGTAATCGCACCGAGGAAACTATATTTAAGATCTGATATCTTGAGGGTAATGACTCCAGCACTTACTGATGGACAGAATGGCTGTTAATGCTTTCTTCACTAGCCCAGAAGATTTTGAAAGATAGATAGGTCTGTGATGTACTTTGATAAGACAGGAAATGCAATTTTTGGGGGTCTCTGGAAATAGAAAGGTCATGCAGCTTGGAACCGGTGAGACATTACAGTCCCTAAGTCATCAGGTACGACCTCATGATTTATACGAATATTTCTAACACAGGGTTTGTTTTACAGTTTTAGGTCATTTGCAATCTCTTTGTCTGTGTAATTGCTTCATGTTGGATTTGCGACAGGATTTATAGGCTAGACTGTTTACATAAGCAGAGCAACGTATATGTTGGAATTCTAATGTGCTCATTTATATTTGAAAAATGTAAGATTATTCTCTATATATTTTTAACCTGTTTTATTGTGAACATGTTTTCTTTTAACTAATTAATGGTGAAAGGTTATCCCTTTGCTGTAATGTAAAATGACAAGATTGTATTGCATTTTTATTTTGCTTTATCTTTGCATGACACACAAAAGCTATTGTGATTGTGTTTGTTTGTCATATGAAATGCAGTAAAAGGCAACTGTTTACCTACAGTGCCAGGTTATTTAAAACAACGTATCACATTGTGTAACAGGACAGGGCTATTCTGCAGGCACAGATCTTGCTTCATTTTGCAGCAGTAGATTCTTTTTCTTTTTGCTTCATTTCAAATCAGTTTTAAAAATAGCTCATGAAACATAACAGTGAAAGTTTGGCAAGATAACTGTCCTCTTTTTAATTATTGCACTCAGTGATCCATACTAATACTAATACTAATGGGTTGTAGAAGATTAATATCTTTAAAATTTAGAATGTTATTAAAAACCAGAATAATTTTATTGAAGCATGTCTCCTTGTTTTGTTTTGTTTTTTTTTTTTTGGTAACTGCTGTCAACTTTATTGCAAGAGTAATACTTGTGGATCTGCTAATGTGTTGTGATGATGTATAGGAAAGTCAGAGTACATGAAAGAAAGCAGATATATGGGTATTTTACATAGGAAGATAGTGGCCTAATTTCATATATGGAACACAGAAGAGATTTGGAGATACTGTTAGCACTTTAGGTGTTATAGACGTTAGATAACGTCTGATATATTCCCTTGAATACATCATAGAGCAATTATATTTAAAATTGTAAGAGAAATTTATTTTAAAAAGGGATATTCGACTCCATCTTAAGAAATTCTACATATATTTGCAGAACATTTCCATGGCAACGTGTTTGACCGTGTGTTTTAAAAGCTCAGCTGAAGCCTGAAAGTAGTGGCAATTTTCTGTCTCTTGCTTTACCCTGTGGAGCAGCAATTTTCACGTATAACTGGACAGCAGATTGGCAGGGGTGAGAGGTGTTTTCTGACCACAAAGCACAGGATTAAGTGATCAAGATTTAAAAATATTTTCATGTATCCACCTAGAAATGTAAACATGTAAGTCATGGATTTGATTTTGCATTTGGAACTATATTCTGGTTTCACCTCATTTAATAACATTTTGGTGAAGCCGTATGTGTGTGGGAGGCAACAGAAGATCAGACTTAAGTTTGTGCAGCAATGGTAAAAATGTCTTTTAATTTTTAATTAAAAACATATTTGTAGAAAATATTGTATTACTTGCACTGATCATAAATTCCAGTTTCACAGTCTGCTTTATTTATCTTACATTCTTCTTAATAATGGGCAAAGACTGCCCTCCTCTTAAGCTTGATTAAGTTTGGCATGATTTAACTATACCTTTCTCTTGCTACAAGATCCTTTTAATCTGTTAGAATTTATTTTCAGTATTTTGATGTATTAGCCACAATGAGTACATTCTGTTTCTTGGCATTGGAATGAAATTCCTGAAAGTATTGGTTTCATGGTATTTTGGTGCTTTGCAGAGTATTTATAGACGTTTTAATAGAACCAACCCTCCCCAGTTCTTTGTTTTCCTTATTCAATTTACAGTCTTGACTTAGCTTTATTTTGAAGTTGCTTCTTTGCTCATTTGAAATAATTAGATCTCCATGGAATTTTGCATCTGGAAGCTACAGCAGTAGGTTGTGCTTGTCCTGGACTCTCATCACTTACACTAATTCTGCAAACTGCATTCTGTGGATGGTTTTGGAATGTATCATTGATATAATCTCCAGTAGTGCAGTAGACATCCATTGCAGCCTGTTGACAATGGAAACTACAGAGGAAAATGAATTGGTGAAAAATGCTTGCTTGAGGAAGTTTGTGCTTAGGTTGTTCTGTTTTGAAGCAACACTATTACTGACTATTGCAAGTGAATTTGAATATGTTTTTTCACTCAAAGGACATAGTCCCATTAGGACATAAGCCCTTGTCCATTTGGAGGGGCGAGAGAGTAACACCCCAGAAGAATATATTAAGAAAGTAAAGCTGTTTTGTAGGAGAGGAAATTGCAGCAAGATAGAGTTAGACACATGAGAGCACGGAATTGGACTGAAGTGATCTGAAAACTTAAAATTACAAACTATTTTGCTTCTTTTACTTGTTTAAGTCCCACATCCAGCCTCCTAAAAAAAAAAGTTTGAAAGATTGCTGATATTTTATATTTGCTCTTGCTGCACAAGAGCAGAGTCATTGAATCCAGGGCACTGTGTTAGTAGCAATTTAACAGGAAGACATTTTTGTGCTTTCTTCAAAACTGTATCATCTCTCTTCAAGATGATTGGTACTGTCAGTATTTAAAGAATGCTGTGTAAGGAAGGATCTCTCTAAATAGAGAATTCTTTTCCCTTGACTGAGCATAACGAATGCACATCCATGACTATGAGTTTCCTTATCTTTAAAACATTGCAATTTACAGGACTCTGATAAAGATCTTGTAGCGAAACACTATTTTAAGAACAGATGGGCAAGAAGCCAAATATTTGTGTAATTTACCAACTTTAAACATGAATGCTCTTAGTCGTGCACTTACACAGTTGTGGTGCTTTTACTTGTTACTGGTTGCTGTCCTGATTCCACAGTGCTGACTTTTTTTGTAGGTTGTAGTACCAGTTTTTAAGGAAATGAGAACACTGGGACAAATGGGAGATTGTGACCAAACATTTGCAAAACATTAGAAGCAAAAAGTACTTTCAGAGTTTGCTGAAAGATTTCAAGTGTTTTTGGTGTACATAAGCCTCCTTCCTAAGACATGACCCTCTTCTCTGGTCAAATTCTTCTCAGTATTTTAATTAATGTTTCAAGTCATTGGGCCTAATGACCAGAATTAGGGAAGGTTTACTATAAGCATATCAGAAAGGTGTAAAACATAAAGTAACAGCATAAATATGAAATAGGTAACCACTGCATGGTCACAAAATACATAGCTACACAATGAGTGGAGTGTTCTAAGAATGTTCCAATCTATTTAGTGTTGCAAGAATATCATCACATGGTCATTCTGAATAAAGATTATTCAAAGGAATTTTGCTAAGATGCAGTCTGAAAATGTGAATAAATCAAATAATAATAATCGTAATAACAAATTATACTATGGTAATATGTTAAAAAATTAGAATAGAGTCATATTTAGTTTCCAAAAATTCCTGTAGAGGTGGAACCACCTAAGATGAAGTAGTAGGGAAGCTGAGCATATTAATGCAGTAAAAGAGAATATGCATTACTTAGAGTGGCATTTTTGAGAGAAGAAACTATCAGAGTTCATTCTCTCTCTCTCTCTCTCTTTCTCCACCCTGTGCCTCTCCTTTCACCCTCCCATCCCATAATGAGCCTCCTAAAGACTATGACTTATTCATGTTATTTCTTGTTTCCTTGCAGGACCATATTTGTTTTGCCTTACTTAAATTTTCAATAAATGTTTTTAATGGAAGAACCCCATTAACATGAGTGCTGTTACACTACTGCAGCCAGTGGCTTTGCTGTCAATATAATTTCTTTTAAGTAGAAGCTGATCCATAATTCTGGTAAATTTGTATAGATTGCTTCATTAATAAACTCAATATTAACTACAGCTCACACAGCATAAACTCCACAGTGCTGGCCATACTGTTCTCAGTGTGACCCTAAAATCGCTTTCCTGGATAATTTAAACAATGTAGGTACCAATGAGGAGACCACAAGATGTGACTGGCGATAAGGTGGCAAAAAGCTGCTATTCCCTCATTATTAAGGGCACCAGGTTTTTTCTTATGTTGAAGTGATCCTTCAAATATTTCATTTGTATCCATTTGCTCTTACCCTGTCACTGGGCAGCACCAAGAGTCGGGCTAGGTGTTCTCTACATTGCCGCCAGTGAGGGAGTTGTATGTTCTGATAAAACACCTCTGAGCCTTCTCGTTTGAGGCTGGAACAGTCCCAGTGCTCTCAGCCTCTGCTTTGATGGCCTTTGTGGTCCTTTACTGGCCTTACTTCATTACGTCCATTTCACTCATGTAAGAAGGGAATCCAGGCCTGCTCAGAGCTCTCCAGTTATGTCTCAACAGGGCTCACTAGAGGGACAGAATCACATTATCTGGTAAGGAGTCTTGGATTGTCTGTTAACTAGTCAGTTAATTACAGAAAAATTTGCACAGAAATCCTTGAAAAATGAGGACTGAATGCACAGAAAATTATAATTGGTAATCTTGTGGGGAAGGAAAGCTTTGAAAATAGCTTTGCTTCATTCATAGCAGTCATTTTAGTAATGAAACCTCCTGTTGTTTTGAAATGTCTTATGTGGAATCTACACCCCCCCAGTACTAATTGACATAAGCAGGGAATAAATCCTGAAGAGAAAGGATAGACTAATATTTTGAGCTGAGCAAACTTCAAAGCAACCGAATAAAAGGATATTATCTAGTATGATATCACTAATCAAAAAACCCCAAAAAGGTAAACTAAATTAAATATGACCTAGAGGGATTCAAGAGTTGTGGTTTTAGTCAACTTGACAAAAATAATTTGTTAATTTCTAGTTTTGCTTAAAATTCAGAGTAAACTCAGAGTTCTCAAATGTTCTCGAGCAGCCATTAACTGATAAAAAATATTCAGCTTGGTATATTGAATGATGTAAAAAACAGAATTAAGGGACATGAGGGAGTGTTGAGGTATAGAAAATATTTCTCATTTTTATGATAGCTTCCCTCTGTTCCCCCAGGCTGCTTAAATGAAGCAAAAATTTATATAGGAGCCTTCAGTGATTTAAGATCCAACCGT